GCACTTTGGCCTTCCAGATGTTTCCATTTTCAGCATTTCTTCAGCTATTTTACTTTTAGCAAGTATCTCTTTGATAATTTCTTCTTCTTGTTCATTCTTCAGCTGTTGATTCTCCGGATGATTCTGATCGCTGCTGTCCTGTCCTTCACTGTCATCCAACTGACCTTGCAGGAGCCAGTTTTTCTCTTTTAGCTACTGACTCTCCAGATGCAGCTTTTCCACCTCATATAACTGTTCATTCATTCTGAGGATTTCAGCATTTTTTACTTCTCTGTCCTCATTTAGCTTTGTTACAAGCTGTTGCAAAAAGGTCTTCAAGGTTCTTCCATCTTCTCTTGTTCTTTGTTTCCAGAAGCTTTGTCAAATGTGTTTGAAAGTGAGGTGGTATTTTAGGACTCTGGGGATATACTCAGCAGCCAAACCCATCACAGGTTCTGGCTGCCTCATTTTGAAGTTATATTCACTTTTCTTCTGATCTACTTCCTCTTTCTTTTGATTGGGCTCATGCTGAAGTTCCTGGATTGGGGCCTCTTTCCTGGCCAGCTCCTTCTGGGTGAACTGCAGCAGCCCTGAGTGCTTCTTGGAGGCCTCTGTGAGCATGTTCAGCTGCTCGGTGGTGTGAGCCAGGTCCTCACAGAGCATGACCCTCTCTGATGTCATCATTTCTCTCAGCCTCACGACTTCCTTCAGCTCCAGAACTTCCACTTCATGTCTCTGAGTCAACATTTTGCTTTCTTCTCTGTCAGCCAGAGCAGAGTTGTGTTTGCAACTTACGTCCTCCAGTTCTTCCTTCAGGGTCTCTATGGTTTTGTTTTCTCAAACATTGATGTTCTGAGCTCCTGAATTTGCTTTGTGAGGTCAGCTGCAACTTCCTTGTCAACATCTCTAGAGTTTTTCGTGGAACTGGTTACTTTTTTTAGCTTAACGGCATGCAAACTCTCTTCTATTTTCTGTATTTCTGCCTCCTGATGTTCAAACTTGGCCATCTCTTTCTGGTTCTCCTGACGAGCAGCCTCAAGAACTTTTAAGATTTCTCTGGAATAAAAGAATTACCTTTTCCCCAGCTTCATTCAATGGTAACAGGATGTTGAGTCTCAATGCCTTTTTCTTCTTAAAGTGACTCCCCATTGGTTCTGATATACTGACCAGTCTAACTAGAGGGGAAAAATAGGTCATAATATATAATTACCAAGCACACTGAATTTTCTTTAATGCCTTAGACTCCCCCCTGGGAGATCAGGTAATTACGAAGGATAACTCAAGAAGACTGGGTATAAAGCAAACAGTCAAGTTTCTTTATCTTGCTTGCTGGCAGGACAGCCCTGGCCCTGTGGGAGGTATGGAATGAGAACCCAGGGGAGGTTCACATCTCCTTACACACACACCTAGCACATGGCCTGAGTTCACCTCTGTGGCTTCCTGGATATGCAGCCGCTTTGCATCCTACCCTGGTGAGAGGAATGTTGCCAAAGAGATGCTGAGTTGAGAGGAAAAGGGTTTGGTTCTCCAAATATTTTGGCTAAACTAAATCTTTACCCTAAACCTGGAGTCACTTTTTAAAAGTTCAATTACATCTTTTGGTTTTTCGATTGACTGCCTTTTCTCTCTGTTTTAGAATGAGATCACTTAGAACAGTGAATTACTGTTCATCAACTGAGAAAATATGGGCCCCAGGCACAACAGTTTGGGCTGGTGCTTTACACCGGTATCAGCAAAGTGAAATAGGTCAGCATGGCAAATACAAGCAGGATGCAGAGGTTTCATTTCTGGCTGATGCTCCCGATGCTCACACTATTAGCACAGCTTCTCTAAGAGTACTCACCACACAATGTGTATTGTAACGTGCTTGTGTAAACACAGTGGACCCTTGACTTACAAACTAGACTGGCTCCCCGAGGGCTGCTTGTAACTGAAGTTGGTGTAAGTCCATACAGCTGAGATCCGGATGTTTACCTGGGTACGCACTGTAGATAACAAGAGGCAGAGGAATCTTCCATTAACCTAACTAACCCAGTTGTTTGTAGGTCAGGCCAGTCATAACTTGAGAGTCCACTGTACACCGGATGGCCACCGAGGATTTGAGGGCTGAAATAATTTTTGGTTTTCTTACCAATTTAATACCTGCTTCAGAGGAAGTTCTCAATAAATATTTCTTGAGTAAGCAAAACTGTTCTTTTGTTTTTGGATGAAATGTCTTAACTTTGGTACATTTGTAGAAATAATACAACTAAGAAATCTCTGCATAAAACACTCAAACCATGGCAGCAGGGAGTCTGAGAAACTGGCTTAGAAGGGTCTCCCTGGGTGGGTTACAGGGCACATATCAAGGAGAGCAAGAAACCAGTCTTTTCCAAGGTAGCCCATGGGCAACAACTTTCTTATTTTGGCCCAAGACCAACTAAAACACATTCTACTTTTACTGTAGACTTCAGTATCTATCAAACTGGCATGCGGGGTCTTTGCTTGCTCGTGTTGATTTCGGGGAGTGGGGGAGTTTATGTTTTCATCTTAGAATTACTCTAGCAAATCTTCCATATGTTATGATAATTCTCTTAGGATGACTAGTTTTCTAGACAAAACACTGCAAAAAAACAGCAGTCTGAACCAAATTTCAACTAGAGAATCCAGTTAAGTCTTCCTACAATGCAGTTTTCTTTCGAAATAGCTCAGGGCAAGGTGGGTGGCGTCTACTCTCAGGTGCCTAAACCTTGCCTCCTCCATCGTTTCAACCCTGCTATCTCTACATTTCCTTCTACAGCTATTCTGAGTAACACCGGCTGAAAAGAATCTTCGGGTAGCTGAGATTAATAATTAAATTTTCTTTGTCTCGTCGTGCTTGATATTGCTTTTATTTTTCGTTTCCAATTGAGGGACTTTAAGCAAATACTCAAGTGAATGGAATCAGTCTAGAGGATAACTGTTTTAAATGTCAGCAAAATAACAGAGGAAGGTTTTTACGTGTGTGGAAAAGATATTAAGAAATTATGCTTAGAATGAATAGTTTTTCTAAGACTCACATAAACATTTCTTCCTCTAGGGCAGTGATTATTAAGGAGGAAATTGGAGGGTATATATGAGATTTACCCACAGAAATTTTTCAAGCTATACGGTCTTCTTCCACAATTACTAATTTCGGTTGTTGTTGTCTCCCTGGAATCAATACCATAGCGACCCACTGTAGTGAGCCACATCCCTTTGTGTGTTAGGGTTAAAGAGGAGTTAGGAATCATTGTTTAAGACTCACCAGTGGGGTGTGAATAATCTGCAACAATGCATAAGATTCTAATAAGATTACTGACATTTAGAAATGGGAAGAAAGGAGCTAAAGGTGTAGGGAAGGTGTGATGGGTAGGGGAAGAACAAAAAGGGAAAAGAAAAAAAATGTGAGAGAATGAAAAGATGAAAATAAAGTGTTTGTAGATGGGGAGGGGAGGAGGGGGTGAAGGGAGGGCAGAGGTAAGGGGAAAAAATGAGAATCAAGACTTGCCATGTAGAGGTACATGATCCCAACAATGAATGTAACTGTACTGTATCCCTAAAATGTACCAATAAACTCAATAAAATTAAAAAAAAAAAAAAGACTCACCAGTGGATAAAATATTTCCAATTACAATGACATAAAAGCATAAGACCATTATTTGCTTAAATTACATTATTTATTTTTGTATTATCCTTCTTAGTCCTGCATGCATTGTTAGCACAAAAAGTTGAACATGATCACAACCTCCTCTGAAGACAGGGTGCACAGACACCATCTGAAGAGCTTCTCCAGGTGGCCTGTGAATTCCAGACCTTGTAACTAACACTGTCAGTGACCCACACAACGTTCAGAGAAAAATTCATCAACTGTCCTCTGTTTAATGTAAACAAGGCAGGAGGTCAACAGAGTATTACAGTAACACTGTTTTACAGGGCCCAGAAGTATGATTATCTACCATGTTTTAGCATATCGAGTGTCACAAGGACACGCACATTTCAATTTATTGTACAACCCCAAATATAATTACCATGTAATTTATGGTTTTAGCACTTCACCGTCACTTCTTTTGTCAATGCCTATTAACTTCATAATTAAATGGTAATTATACAGTAATACAATAATTTGTAGAAACGTTACAAGTTTAGGAAGTAATTCCATAATGGGTGCCCTGTAAAATTAAGTGTAACAATCTTTACACTAGCAAGAGTGTAAGCAAGCTAAGGGTTTTGGTCCTTATATATACATATATACACACATGTACACTCACAGTATTATACAATTAAACCCCAAAGCTGTGAAGCCACTCACAGCTTTCATATTGCACAGATACATTATGAAGACATTCCATGATGATAGTGTGAGTACTACAGTGATACCTGGCTAAGACAAATCTGAGTTCTAGGAAGTCAAGAATGTCCCTCACTCCTAAAAATAAACCCAAAGACTCACTGTTGCCAAGTTTAAAAGATGTGGATACCTATTTCTGAAAAGGTGAAGCAAAGCTAAAACTGTTCGGAACTTGCTATGGCAATCAATTGTTAAGGTGGCACTTTCTGCCCCACACAGTGCACTTCAGTCACTGCTCTTACAAGCAACGAGTAGCGACATAGCTTCTGAGAGGCAGTAAGAAAACTACCAGGCATGCAGCACAATGCGCTGTTCAATTAACAAATTCAACTCAGTGTGAAAACTTGTGCTGCCTCTAGGTCCAAATGAAATATGGAAAAGAGAGAAAAGCAAAATCAACTATACTTTAAGCCTTAGCTGATTACATCAAGGTCATTACAATAACTTAGGAAAATTGTATTTTCAGAAGCAGCGTACACACACACACACACACACATCCAAATATGAGTTAAAGCTTTTCTGAGCTTCGTTTCATGGATTAGCTATAAGGTCCCATTGTGAAAATCAAAAATAAAAAGAGTATTTGGTTTGAGAGGTAATATCATTGCTATCGAGCCCATGAAGCACTAGGAAAGCATAAAGAAATATCTAATATCTCTTAATGCCTTATGTCATATACAACCACATCAAAGTAGACTGTAGCTACTTCTAAAAATGGAGATGCTGCAATGTTCCTTGCAAAAATTGTCCAACAAATACACCAAACCACATAATACTTCATATCACTCAAAATCATGAAAAGAACACCACACAGGCAGTAACTATCTCCCATTTTTGTTGTTTCATTGTTTTACTCAATGAATTTTTTTAGACCAAGCTAAGAAAGATTTGTACTAAATTAAAAACTTAGTCTTTTTTGATGTTTTAATGATGAGCATGTTAGAGCTAAAACTATTCATAATCTTGATACTTTGTTCTTAATAAATAGCAAAAGCTAACTATGAAATAAATCAGAAACACTACTACAACAAAATGAGCAGATAAGCCTAAAACGTGCCTCTGTGCACACGCCACTCAGTATGTGTGCAAACGCGCCACACGAAATGGCTTTCCCAGGGCCGAGACAGCGCCTCTGAAGGTCCGAGAGGGAACATGTGACAGTATCTCCCCCAAAATCCGTAAATGGAGAGGTAAAGAGGAAAGTGCTGCTGCTTAACATTTAAAAAAAACAAAGGCTTTAAAGCAATATTGGGACAATGAGCAAGCTTAAAGAAAGAACAGAACGACACTAGCGAGCTCCTTGATGTGAAGTTACCACAGCCTGCTGCACGCCACACAGCGGCCAGACCAGGCTGTCCTGCCTGTGTGCCCTGCAATCACACACAGGGTCTCAGAACCCTCCGACGTGTAAACAGGACATTTAAAAGACTGTTTTCTCTCACCTCTTTAGAATCATTTAAGACAAAAGACAACAAAGTGAAATGAAACAAATGTAAACATTGAGGCCACCGGCATCCTGACTGTTGCCTACTTGGACACTACCGTGCACTTCAGTAAGAAAATTGATTATGAAGAATTTCATAAAACAACTTTCAGAGAGGGAAAGAACAAAAAAGCTCACAACTGAGTACATATTATCATAAAAATACTATTTTAGCAAACACTACCAACAATGAACACCAATTCAATGTTGTTGCAAAAAATGACAGTTTAAGTAAACTGGGACCCACAGACGAAAATTAATCACTAACATGGGTATGTGCACAAAAGAGTAAAAGAATGTTTCTTTAAAAATATATATTAATCAAGAATTTATCATATTAAATTGTTATTCTTAGAAAAGCTAAAGAAAGTTAATGCTGCTCTACACATTTTTATTTATTATCATTAACAATTCATAGATGGTTCCTGGATTATATTTTTCCTCATTTACAGTTTTAAATATTTTTTTTGATAAGAATCTTAACCTTAAAAAGTTAAAAAATTAGTGAATTTTTTGCTACTTATTAATCCAAAAGAATATAAGCATTGGAGTCCCACAGAATGTCAAAATGCCTTGCTACCTAAAAGGATGTTAAGATAACAGAAATATCTTCAAAGTCATGACATCAGGAATTTTTCGGCATTTCACACAGTCATCAGAATGCTTATTTCCTGAAGTTCCTTTGATTGTATCCTGGGTTCAACAACGTACAACATAGAGACCCATTATGATAGAGCCAATGAAAACAACGCTACGCCACATTTTATCCAGAGTGTTCACCTAAAAGGTCCTTAAAGGTTCTGTCCAGTTCACAGCAATACTTCATGTAAAAAGGCTTTTCATCCTCTCTTGGCTGCATGGGACTGAGTCTTTTCTGATGAAGTGTACATGATAGTTCAGTTGCCTTAGCGACTTGAAAGATGTTATTTATGGTGTGGAGGAAGCGTGGTATTTCACAAATGCGATTGCCGCCAGCTCCTTACAGAACTCTTCTAACACAATCACACCCTCTAGCAACGTGATATGGTCAATTCTGGGAAAAGCAGACGAAAAATCAATTTAAATTATCAGCAGATCACTGAATTGGGTGACATTTTTTGGATAAAAGTATATAAAACAATGACTTACACAGGGCCTTCAGGTTCCAAACCAAGCAATCGCTTTCTAACTAACAGCAGCTTAGGTGTGAAGTCCTGAATACGCTGAATTCGAACCATAAGGTCTCCAACAACCTGCATCAGAGACAAGAAACTCAGTTCTTGAAATCCACTGTATAAGGATTCTCTCCTTGAAAAAATGTCCTTTCTATCACTAAAGAACCTATTCCACAGTTTCTTTGACCAAGGACTCATCTGGTCTTTAAAATATAAAAATTACATGTAATATTTAAAAGAATGAATTTTTCTCCTTCCCCATTCTAAAATAGTTCAGAACGTATCATGATTACTTTGTAGATGTATAATATCGTCCATCACATGACACTGACTAACACAGTGATAGGAAGATGTTAACTGGATGGGCTTATTGATTCTAGAGAGTAGAGTAGAACTGAACTGAACTTACCCTGACGATTACAGAGAAGAGGGATCGACAGCCAGAGGCAAGGTTCACATAGGGATCCAAAAGGTACTCGTGCATGTGTGGATGAGGGAAGAGGGACAATCTGGACAACACGGAAGTCACCTGTAAATTCACATCGTATGGCTGTGTAGAGGGAAGGACAGAAAGATAGCTTGTATGATATAAGGTACGCACTGTGCTTAAATTAGCGCTAGTTTCTATGAAACCAAAACACACCTGTCTACTCCTCTCTCCACATCATGTTCTTTTTTTTTTTTTTTTGTACCGGGGATTGAACTCAGGTCCTTGCACCTTGCATTTGCAAGGCAGGCCAACGAACTGCTGAGCTAAACCCCAGACTTCTCCACATGTTCTTCTGCAGTGAAACATCTACAACTAAACCGGCTCTCACCATCATAGTCAAAGCATGTATAACACAGCCCTTAAACTTAACACAAGATAGGCATTGAAACATGTAGAAAAGGCAAAAATGTGCTGTAACAGGATGTATGTGAGTTGGCTGAATTCATAAAATAGTTGAAAGTCATCAAAAACAACCAATATGCCACGTACAGTATTAATTACAAACCACAGAAGACAAATTAAGCCTAAGACTAAATAAACAGATATTTCATCTTTTAAATATAGTAAAGTAGGACTGGAAATGGTATTTCTTATCTCAGATTATTCAGTGGCTGCCAAGTACCAAAAGCATGAATCTAAAAAAATAAAGTCAAATCACAGACCCTTGTCAATGGAATGAAAGAATTTTGGGAAGAAATGGTTACCCTATGCCTGGAGGTGACAAGGAGGGAAGACTAAATTTACTATTAGCAATGGACTCTGAATGTTTTATTCTCACCCATCAAGCACCTTTAAAACCTTTGATCAAAATGCACACCAATTAGAAGGGCATCTTTAGCACTGAGAAACTCCTGGGCACTGCCGGCAGATCATTGGAGGTGCTCTGATGAGTGTACGTGTTGTTACATAGACAAAATTCACTCCTAGCGCTAATTCCAATTTTAGTCTTTCTTATTAACTATGAGATTCATAAACATGGACTTTTTTAAAGAATAAAAACTATGCTTGAGTCATTCTTTTTCAAACTGTAGTCTTAAAGCAAGATAAATGAAAGGAGATTTGTATCCTAATAAAGGAACATCTTAAGATTATATTCTCCTATTTGACAATACCTGTAACAAAATAGACTTTCCCAAGACTCGACTCATAATAAAAAATGAATTCTCATCAAATTATATTTTAGGTACTAAAGGATCCATTTACAAAAATCAATTTAGAAATGAATTTTATAAAATATGTGGATGAAATAATTTAAAATATAACAAACACTTGGTAATGATTCCAGGCATTTGGTAAAGATTCTGTACAGAATAATTTAAAATATAACTTGAGTTCAGAACTGTGTATCACTATTCATTTCAGGTAGGTAGGACTTCTAGGTTACATCTCTGACTGTCACAGAAATGCAAATCAAAACAATGTTAAGAGTCTGTCTTACTCCTGAAAGAATGGCAATCAGTGAGAAATCAAACAATAACAAACGCTGGTAAGACTGTGGTGAAAAGGAACCCTCCTTCATTGTTGGTGGGAATGTAATCTAGTACAGCCATTTTGGAAACCAGCATGGAGATTTCTCAAAGAACTGAAATTAGAAATTCCATGTGACCCAGCAATCCCCCTGCTAGGAATCTTCCCCAAAGAGCTTAAGTCATCATACTGCAGCGATGCATGCATACCAATGTTTACAGCAGCACAACTCGTAATGGATAAATCCTGGGAACAGCCTGTACACCCATCAATAGATAAGGAAATGTGGTATCTATACATAAGAGAATACTATTCTGCTATGAAGAATGACAGATTTGAGACATTTGTAGAAAAATGAATGCACCTGAAAAACAGAATGTTGAGTGAAATAAATCAGACACTCGAGCTTAAATACTGTGTGGTATCTCTCATTTGAATGAGCCAAAGTACAGCCAAAGAGAATAATGACAGATGGAGAAAAGGGGACTAGGAAATGGATCTCTTGGCAACAGGGAAGTGGTCAAAGGTAAGAAGTGCCAGGGATGAGAGGAGAGGGAAATAAACAGAATAAAGACAGGCCATTTACAGGAGCCCAATAATCTCAATGAATGTAAACATCAATGTAATATGATATAAACGTATGTTATAATATGAGCTAAGATTCGTAAAAGCAGCAGGAATGAAAAATGGGAGAGGGGAGTTGGAGGAGGGAGGGAAGGAAAGAGAAGGGGTAGGAAATTTTTTAAAAAGCTGCAACCAAATCACTCCCCAAGATGACTGTAAACTGCATGATTGCAAACGTGTACTAATAAAGTAAAAAATTTAAAATAAAATTTTCTAGGTCATGAAATTCTTCCATTCTCAGATGCTTAAACAAGTATGTCAACACATTTGTCTTTTTTTTTTTTTTTTTTTTTTTTTTAACAGGCTTTCACCGTGTAATTGAGACTGGCCTGAAACTCTCTATGTGGCCCAGGCTGGCCTCAAATACTCCCAGCAACTCTCCTGCTTCAGCCTCCCGAGTGCTGAGATTATATGCGTTAACCACCACGCCCGGCAATACAATGTGTCTTGAAACAAGGCTGTAGTACTATTAAGACTTTATAATTTCTCTGTATGGTGTGACTTTGGTTTATAATTTTATTTTAACATAAATCTAGATCATGCATTATTTAAGAGGCTCTCCCAACCATGCCCTGCAGTGGTGGGAATGGAACCCAGGCCCCTCAATGTGCTTGGCAAATCCTCTACCAGTGAGCTCCACCTCCCATCCAAACACGTTCTCAATGCTGTGAACATGAAATTAAACTTCAGCAACATAGAATTATTTCACTGTACTCTGAGATGGTCTCTACTTATTAGTATAACTTTAAAACGAGCTGGGATTTGGGGGGCTGTTAGTAGCAAGTGTCTCTGTTATTGGGGGGGTCCCTTTACTTTGAACTTTTCGCAGTACATCTCACGTGCCAAATGGAACTGGGCCATTTTAAACTAAGCCCACATCAATTAGAAGCTATGAATTCTGAGACAACGATCTCCGATTTACAAGGACACTGAGGTCACCAACAGTTATCTCCTCTGCTAAAGCCCGAGGATACAAATGGTCAAAGTGGGACTTAAATCAACTTGATTTCTAATAATATTTGTTTCAAACAATTCGTATTTTTAAAGAGTATTTTAACTTCTCATTTAATTGTTTCAAGCAAATCTAAATAGGGGATTAGGAAAGGCAGTAATAACGTCCCTTTAACAGGAAGGAAATGTGACAAGCGGCTCAGTCACCTACCCAGCATCAAGCTCTTCACACGCAGAGCAGGGCACGAGTTGGCCCCTTACTCCATCTGTCCTGGTGGTCTTACATTCTGTTGTAGAAGTCCACTTTTTACTTCCTTTATGAAATCCCACAGGTACAAACTACTAAATGTCTGTGTTGCACAGTATTAAAAAAAATTAACATTGTGACGACACAGTTGTGTCATGAGTACTGAATGCCATGACTTCTCAATTATGCATGAAGAAGTTTCCTACACTGTGAACTATCCGCATCTAATGTTTAACCCCAGGCTGGTTACCCTGACTCTATTAGAGACACATATTTGAAAATACAGACAAACACCATCCTGAGCGAAAAACAGGGAAGAAAACGAAAGTGAACCAAATACACTGAGCTCCACAGGGCCTCGCGCGTCATCTTGGAGATCAGACTGCAGGATGCTCTTCCCAAAGAGGCTGGAAACCTAAGTTCTAAGGAACAAAAGGCTCCAGGCTGCTCCACAGGGGACTCTAAGTCCTGTAACTGAAAGTAAAGGTTTCTCACTGAGGAAACAGTACCAGAAATCTGTCTAACCCATGACAGAGGGCTCTTGGTCAAACAGGGAGAGTGATGGACACGGCCTAGGCATCAGCTCGTCCTGTGCTGGGCTACATACTCTGGGACATTCTGCTCTGTCTTCAAGCATCCTTTTATGTCAGCACTCAACAAACTGTGGACAAGTGCTCAATTGTGATGACTCAGGGTGGATTTTTTGATTCAGAAACTACATTTAGCCTTGCAAACCCAAGGACCTGAGTTCAATCCCTGGTACCAAAAAAAAAAAAAAAAACAAAACAAAACAAAAAAAAACAAACCCAGAAACTACTTTTAAAAATGTGGATTCTTGCTGGGTGTGGTGACACATACCTATAGTCCCAGCACTTGGGAGGCTGAGACAGGAGGATCACCTTGAGTTCGAGGCCAGCCTGGGCTACATAGTGAGTTCGAGACCAGCCTGAACTACATAGCAAGATCCTGCCTCAAAAAAGAAAAGAAAAAGAAATTTGGCTTTTCAGTGCTCTTGGTCAAACTTTCTAGAAATTACTGACTTCATACTTACTTAATATCTCTCACTTATTATTAGCTCAACTGGATTCAAACTAAGCCTGGAAAACTAGTGGCAAAAACCCATAACCAACCCATGAATTCCGGCCACCCAGGAGATTTAAACAGCCAAGCTGTACAGAACACACTTATTAATACCAGACTTGGACACTTTAGCTGTCAGCTTTAAAACAGACACTAGACACACAGCACATGATATCTAGAAATTAAAGAAAGCAAAGGACTGGATCTTTATCACTGATGTTGGGAATGGCCCTGACTGAAGGATGACCTCACGTAGCACTTAAATTATATTTTCTTTATTTGACTTTATAGCTACTCAAGAGTGCATATTTATGTAAATCTCTTTTATAACTCCCTCTGTACATGTAAATATTTAACTGAAGTGCTAAAAAAAGAGCAAGCATTTTGAAACACAAATTTTAAATTAATCCAAATTAGTTATGAGTTTCTATGTTGAAACAAAAACCATTACTTCAAGTGTATCTCACTATCGTCACTGTCTGACAGTGCAAGGAGGGGAGGGATTCCTTAATCCCAAATTCGTCCTCTACCAGGTGATGACACGCGTAGCGACATATCAGCTGATGGTGATTTTCGTCCACTTTGGAACTAAATGAACCTTCTTGATTTTCCCTGTCTTTCCCTCATGAAAATGAACAGTGCTCACACGTTCTTTGTCTGAGGAAGCCAGTTCACAATTTTAATGAGACCTGAGTATTCAAGGTTCAATTTAGGGTCTTCTGGGAGGAGCTTTACAGTGCATCCACACCAACCAGCCCTACTAACTGAACGCTTTCCCAAGTTAGTCACAAAGGAAAGCACTGATTACCTCCAAACTAAATGAGGGCCTGTAATAAGAAGATACAGATTCTGTAATAGTTGCCAGGCCAAGTGAATGCTTCTAACATTCTGAATGCATCATAACCCCAGTAACTGTTAGCCATAAAGCCTTATGAAGAAGTCCTCTGGTGGAAAGACTAAGAAAAGAACAAAAATATTTAGCTGAAAATCTAAACTAAGATTTGAGATATCACGGTAAATAGTAACAAAATATGAAAATTAGTATTTTAAAATGTATTACCTGATCAAGAATTCTTCCCATTCTGTCAAATAAAACTTTCAAAAAATGACCTTCAAAGAAAGCTGCTTCTAAATTGCACTTTTCCAGTGCTTTCGGAGACCCAGGCCATTCCCATCTTAAGCAGATAGCACAGTAGTCCCGGAACTAGGGGGGAAAAAAGCATCTGTATCATCAAAGAACTACCAGAAAACAAATGAAAATAAAGCAGAAATAGTTTCCTCAAACAGGCATAAAGAACCACTCGAATGTGAAACCTCTTCTCTGTGTGAGGTGCTACAGGAGAGGAGAGGGGTGACTAAGCCCCTGACAAGAGGGGCACAGGGAAGACTGGGGTTGGCAGGAACTAGAGTAAGGTGGTGGGGAAAAGGAGGCATATTTTCATGTCGTTACAATATTCCCTTTAGAGTCCGGACACAGTGGTACACACCGAGAACTTGAGGCAGAAGGATCATCACCAGGAGATGGCATGAGGCCACCTGGGCCAGCCTAGAACATACGGGGAGACCTTGTCTCAAAAAACAAAAAATTTCCCTTTAAGCCATTTTGATGCTCTTCCTTGTCATTTTCGTAACAGAGCTAGAGCACACTTATAAAGCAAAGTTAAGACCTAGTCAAGTTACTGAATGATGTAAATAGAGAAATGCTGCTCATTACTTGAGAAAGCTTGATGTTTCTAGGATGTTCTTACCCTGGGTACGTTGTCGTGAGAGGGCTTATAAGAGTGCTGCCCACAGGATGGTCCATGGGCCAGTGTGGGCCTCAACCATCACCAGTGAGATGTGTAAAAGAAAGAATCAGCATCTAGAATTTTCCTAGCAATCTGAGTAATTTTATGTTTGCTGAATCTAACACTAAAATAATGGGGCTTACATTTTGTCCTTCTCCTTCATTTTCCTAGTAACTCATTTTTATTTTATTTTACAAAAGTGTTAGTATATGACAGATTCGAAATAATAAAAACTATTCTTCAGTACGGATACTTATCACCAGAAAATGGATATTTTTTAGGGGGCGGGTACCAAGGATCAAACTCGGGCCCTCCTGCGAGGGAGGCAGCAGAACCACTGAGCTAAATCCCCAGCCCCGAAAAATAGATTTTTATAAGCAAAAGAGTATCTCATATAATAAAAATGAATTTTAAAGGTTTCCTCAATATGTAATTTACTTAAAAGAAATTGAGAGGTATTTTCCTCCATCCTTTCCCTTTTCAGAATTTCCTCATTCAGTACCGCAAAATTTCTTTGACCTCTCTAGTTTGAAAATTACAGGAAATTAAAACAGTATATTCTCACCATAAGCATTACTTTCAGCTTTATTTTGTTTCATAAGAAATATGTTTAAAACAATTAAAAAGCCAACTTCATCAATATACTGTGTTTTGGGGTTTTTTTTTTTTTTTTTTTTTTTTTTTT